GGGCTGCCACTTACAGGATGGGGACACACTGGCCACCCTGCCCCTGTCTCTCAGCACAGGGCACACCAAGCACAACCTCCACGAGGCTCAGAGATGAGGCCAAAGCCTATCTACAGGTTCTGGAGGTGGGCTTGAGGGAGGCACCCACTGCTCCTAAGGTCAAACGTGCCAGGAGCTTGCTGGGTTCTTGGGGGACACTAGGGTGTTCCCACCACTATGTCATGGCGAGAGGCCTGGGGCTGCAGAAGGCTCACACTTGGTGGCCAGGGAGAGCAAGGGCAAAGCCACAAGGAAGACACTGCTGACTCAGAGTGGCCCGCAGGGAGCCATCGCCCCCTCCCAGCCATAACCAGCCCCAGTCTCTGTCTTGCCCGCCAGAGCGTGTCCCCGAGGCACCCGACCAGCCTGCTCTCTGCCGGCACTCATGTATGCCCAACGCGGAGAGGCCGAGCCGGGGCCAAGGCTTGCGAGAGTTGTGCCTGCGCCCAAGGCTGGAGCACACCCTCTGCCCCAGGCTGCCAGGGCTGCCAGCGGAGGACAGCACGTCCCGTCAGCCTGACAACCCCGGAGAAACTTGACAGCACAGCTGCAGCCAACGCCGAGGAACTGGGGCTACCAAGAGCCAATCGGGCAGAAATATATTTGCTTTTACATAAATTTGCATGTTTTCTGGAGACATGATCCTGCTTCCCCCATGTAAAGAGTTGGGGCAGGAGGCACAGGGATACCCCAACCCAGACCAGTTCCATACTCTTACCTCTATGAAAGCAACGATCACGGAGCCCACCATCACCACGCTGGCGTTCAGGGTGGCCCAGAGTAACAGGGAGAAAGACAGGCCCCCTTTCTCCGTGAACTTGTCGATGTCTGGGGCAGCAGTTCAAGGAAAGGCTAGTATCGGTTGGGTACCATCCTTCCCACTGCAATAATGCAACACTAAAAGTGTTTCTTGGGCTGTGGCAGCGCAGCAGGTCCTGTGCACTTAGGACAGCCAGGGCTGCTGCAAGGAGCCTCCTCCGTTACGGCAGTGCCCAGCCAGAGCTCAGCCCCGCAGAGCAGCCGGGCACTCGGCAGCACCTTGGGTGGCAGGGTCTGTAACGCCAAACCCAGGCAAGGAAGCGCTGCCCTCTCCCCTGGCACCCCTCTCACAGCTCCCAGGAGCAGAGATCCCGCAGCTCCCGGCTGGCCAGTGGCCATGGTTCCATGGGAGGATACTGCCCTTCACCACCCGGTACTTCAGCCCAGCCAGGTTCTCCACCACGATGTCGATGAAGCAGGCGACGAGGCCGGTGAGGATGCCGATCATGGCACAGATGACCCAGCGCTTGATCTCCACCGTCCGGAAAGCCTGAGGGTCAGACAGCCGTCAGACCCCGCTGCCGCCCAGCCCGTCCCCCACCAGCATCGGGGGGACTCCAACCCACCTGGCCACTTCCCCCAACACAGCCCTAAGCCTGGGCAGCTCTGAGGAGAGCTGCCCAAGGAAAACCGATGCTGGCTGATCCAGGATTGCAAAGCCTGGCCACAATTTACTTATTTTAAGCCAGTGCCCTTGCCCCTCTGTGGGATCCCTAACAGCAGATGTGCTTTTCCAGCTTGCCTGCCTCCATCAGGCCCCTTCTGTTGGGCTTCTTGCTGCGGCGCTGACTCCCAAAGCCCCCAGGGCAGATGTTTCACATGGCTCCAGAAGTCCCTCTGCTCAGGGACCTGCCCCGTGCTGCCCAGCAATGCCACCATCAGCACCCAGGCTAGCTCCCATTCGAACCATCCTATGCTGGGTCCTTGCTCCTGAGGTTTTACGGCTCGTCACAAGCTGGTCAGTGCCCATAAACCCACCACAGCTCAAGCGCTGCTTTGAGCACGACCTCCCCCGGGGCAGAGAAGCCCCCCAGCAGCCAGGCAGGGGGGAATGACTTCCCTGGGCCATCCCAGCCGCAGGGATGGTGGGCAACCGGGTCGCAGCGAGACTCACTGTGTGGTTTATCCGCCTCTCCTCCTCCAGGAACAGCTGGTTTTCACTGTTGTCATAGTCCAGGCTCTAGTTCAGGAAAGGGAGATGCTGTTACTGTCTAGCTCAGGGGAAGAGACACCCGTGCTGGGGAGGGCTGGCCTCAGACCCTCACCCCTGCCCCTCCACACCCCTGTATCTTCTTCCTCCCTCGATCCAGCTCCTTCCCCACTGAAACCCCTCTAGCTGGGCGGCCGCAAGCCCTCGCTCCATGTACCTCAGCCACTGCATCCCAGAGGGAGGGGAGACAGGCGCTTACCTCGTACTTGAGCGACAGGAGCTTCTCATTGTGGGGGATCTCATTAGGATGCTGCCGAGGGAGCTCCGTCTCCTGCAGGACATGATGGACAGGTTAGAAGGGCCAGGTCCAAGCCCAACCCTCCTCTCTGCCACATAACTGCTGGTTTAATGCTGGTTTAATGCTGGTTTTCATGCTTAGGAGAGGCAGGGAGGTCTGCAGAGACCCAAGCCCTAGCGCAAGCTGCCCGGCAGGCCATGATCCGGCATGATTTTCCAGCAGTTGGTGTACGTATGGGATTTAAGGCAGCTGGAACAGGCTGTCAGGCATGCACCCTCGCCCACTGCCTCTCCAGCCCTGGGTAGGATGTTTCCCCACAGGCAGAAGGAGGGTTTGCCCAGCTGGGTACCAGGCTGCCATGCTGATCCGGCGCTGCCTCCAAGCGGCTCTGTGCTCCGGTGGAGGGCAACCTTTCACCTCGGCAGGAAATTCCTTCAGCCGAAAGCAAGGAGCTATTTCAAGCAGGCCCACGATTTTGGGCAGAAACCAAATTCTGTTTCCCAAACGCCTTTGACCGTGCAAGCTGTTCCCAGCTCCAAATTAGGGCATTTACTGAGGATGCCGGAGAGGGCCCTGGGGCAGCGGCACCCTACACCCTTCCCTGGCCCCGCGTTACAGCTATGGCCAAAGACAGCCCAGCCTTTCCTCTGAGGCACTGGATTAAGACCTATTTCTTCCCATTTAAGAATTCCACAAGAAATGTTTAGCAAAAGTCTTCTTCCCATTTGCTCTTCCTACAGCTCCAGAGCCGAGGCAGGAGCATCTGGAGAAGAAAAGCTTCTCAGGTGTGCATGGAGGGGGAATAACTTCAAACTTGAGAGTTTTTGCAAGATGCCCCGTCTGTTGCTAACCCTGTCCCCAGGCTTGAGACATCTTCCCCCAGCTGCCGTCCCACTATGCATCCCCTCCCTTGCCTTCACACTGAGCTGGGCAGCAGGCAAGAGAAGCAGCTTGGAGCTCTCACGACAAGAAAGAAATCCCTTCCCACGCCACTGGATTCTACATTTGCTCCCGTGGGAGGAAGGTTCCTGGGCCGGCAGGCTGGTGCTGGCGCTCAGAGAGGTGCAGGAGACCATGATGTCCTCGGGCCAGCGCTGCGGCTAAGAGGAAGCAGCAACGGTCGAGGCAGAGGGGCAGCCAGCTGCCCACGCCGTGAAGGTCGCCCAGCCCAGGAGGAAGCACTGGAGCCCTCATGGGATAAGCGGGATGTGAGGGGGGGAAACAAAAGCAGCCATCAGTGCTGTTAGTAGAAGGGAAGTGCTTTCAGTAACGGCGGGCCCCTTTCTGTGCCACTCACCAGCTCACGGATGTCCTCGTTGAGGTCCACATTGCTCAGCTGCCCGATGCGCAGGAAGGAGGAAGGAGTGAGCTGAGGAGAGAAGGGAAAACGGGGTCAATTCCTGAATGCGCGACAAGCCTTGGCAGAAGGAAAGAGCAGGCACACGGGTGCTCGTGCTCTGTGCCCCTCACCGAGCTCTGCCTGCCTGCCCGCCGCCAGAGCCCCCCCCGAAGCGCAGCACCCACAGAGGACTGCTCTCAGAGGACACACGGAGGAGGTGAGACCCCCAACCCCGGAGGGAGCACGAGGCAGCGGCAGTCTGCCGGGGTTTGGGCAAGCTGCTGCAACCTGTTAGTTGGCAGAGCCGGCTTGCCCCAGGGGAGGTGCCAGCCAGCAGCAGCTCATTCGAGGCCAGCAGCCCCAGGAGCTGGCCAGAGACACCAACAGCCTCCAGTAAGGAGCATGGCAACCCGACGCAGCAACCGTGCAGCCAAGCAGCACGTTCCACACTCCCCTGGAGCTGGGGAGTGACGTACCCCCCTGAACAGAAAGTGCCATCTCCGCGGTCACAAGTGCACCAAGACCTGCCTGGGCCACCCCTCAGCTCACACACCAGGCCAGTGACAAGGGATGGCCAAAGGCACGTTTGGCTTTGCCATCTGCTCCACGGGAGCAGTTCCCAGCCAGGGAAACGAGCACGTCGGCACGTTCATCTCCCTCCGAGCACCCAGAAACGCAGCGACGGCCGGGCCAGCTGCCAGCCAGCGCACACAAGAGGAAGCAGGGCACGTTGCTCCCGCACAGCCTCGGGGACACCAGCGCCTCTCCGAGCCGGCCCCAGCGCGATGCTGGGAAGGAGCATTTGCATCTCCCTCTGGGGAGGCAGGTTCTCCTTTTGCTGGTGACTACTCGGGCTTGTTACTGGCAGCGCAATTGTGTAACACGGGAGTTTTTTGACTATTTGGGGCACCTCTTGTCTCCTGGCCGAGCCAGCCTCCAGCCGGGCAGCGCTGCAAGGGGACCCAGCAGAAGCTGGCAAGCTGCCGTCACCCCTCCGCCATTGTGAAACACAGGGATGCACAAGGGGGCGAGCAGCACTGTCACTAAGCACAGCCCAAGCACCATTTCTCAACATTAAGATCTTCCCCTCTGGAGCCTCACCCCTCCCCAGCTGCCAGGCTAAAGGACTGAAGAATAGAAGAGGGATGGCGAGCAACAGCAGGGCCCTGGCACATCAGTCCCTCTCTGCCGGCAAGCCGGCAGATCCCAGATCAAGCCCCTGCTGCTTTAATCCCCACCAATCCCGTCTGGAACATGCAGGCCAGAGCGACTGGGAGCCGCGCACGTCACTGCAGATAAAGAATATCCCTTTGTGTTTGCAGCCTGACCTATTTTTCCCATTTCAGGTTCTCATTCACTGCCTGACCTGCAGGCGGGTTTTGCTCCCGCTTCTCAAACCCCCTTTGGTGCCCTTTCGTCCCCAAAAGCCTGAGCCACGGCAGCCAGGGGCGTCCCCGGCAAGGGAGCCGCAGGGCTGAGGATCAGCCCGCAGGAGGGGCTGAGCACAAGCTGCTCCACGTAGCGGTTTTTGGACATGGGTTTGCCAAGACCAGCCTGGTTCTGGTCCGTGATGGCTCCACAATCCCCCTGGAAAGGACCCAGGTGGACTTTCCCGGCAGTCAGAGCAGACCACCGTGGGCTCCTACAAGCCAGGCACACCCGAGGCTGTCACCTCCCCGGGGGGGACGTGGATGGGAACTTACGCAGAGTCACGAGCTGGAGGCAGGAACTGCCCGTTTCAGTGCCTGCTAGTGCCCAGCCGCTCCGGTGGCAGGCAGAGGTCCCAGCTGGGCCCCCGCCGTCCTGGGGAGGGGGGAAGGACACGGTCCTCGCCCTGAAACCCTGGGAGGGACAAAGCTCAGACCTTGCAAGGGAAGCCACCTCCACCCGGCTTTAGGAAGCACAAAGATTTAAGGCTCCCGTTAGATGCCACACGTCCAGGGCAAGATCAAGGCAACGAGATGGAAACGCTCGTTCATGCCATGTCGCCTGCTCATTCCTGGGCTCAGACCTCAGGCACCAAGACCTCAGACAGGACCAGCCCTTCGGGGAAGTTCTCCTTCTGCTAGCCATGGGGGTCCGCAGAAAGATCAAACGTGGCTGAACCGGTGACACCCCCCTGCTACACCCCTTCCCGATGGAGCAAGCGGCCAGGGCACGGCAGCTTCGCTCCCAACAGATTAGGCAGCAGCAGCAGGACCTAAGCACAGATGAAGGGAAAGGAGCTGCAGTTGAACCTGGAGCTGAACTTTGTTAGACAAGCAGCGTGTTTTTAATATGCCCCCCTCCCCCCCCCCCACCCACGCCCCCCCCCCCCCCCCCCCCCCAAGCCCTGGCATCTCTCCTGCATCCAGATGGGCCGAGCCGCTCTGCGAGCAGAGGGCTGGCTCCCACCTCGCCTGGCACAGGGATCACGTGCCGGGAAGACAGGAAAAAGCTACTTCCCAACTTTTATAAGAGGGACACGGGGGATTCAGGCAGCCAGGAGCCAAGACAGAAGGTTATTTGTGCACGGCTCAAAGATTCACCGAGCACATGGACAGCATTACCCTCCTTGGGATGTTTTTCAAACTCAGGCCAAGACAGCTGCTGATCCCGGGTACATATGATGTTGGTGTGACCGTGGTACGATTATCTCCACATAACAACACACACTGTTGCCAAAACCCAGAGGACACAGCCTGGCTAACAGCTCTCCTGTTCCAGGAGAGGCTCTCAGGCCAGCTGAGCCAGTCTCCGACAGCGGCACAGGAACAGCGACGGCACCCAGCCCTCAGCACTCGCCCCGTTTGGGTGGTAAAGCTAATTCCTTACCCATTTTGAGCTCTGCAAAGAGATGTCTGGAGCCTTGATCTAGACCAAAACTGTTTAACATCTTTGTCAGCGGGACAGTTGGTATGCTGGAGGGCAGGGCTGCTCCTCAGAGGGACCTCACCAGGCTGCAGGGAAGCCCCCGAAGTTCAACAGAGGCAAATACAAAGCCCTGCACCTGGGATGGATGTGCCCCAGTGGTTAGAAAGCAGCTTTGCTGAGAAAGTCTTGCACCCAGCTGGTGGACAAGTTGCAGAGGAGTCGGTGGCACAAACCTGCAGTGGAGGTGGTCAACCAGCTCCTGGGTGGTGCAAGACCACAGCCAGGAGGTCTGGGGAAGGGATCCCACGCCTCCGCCTGGCACCTGCGATAGCACACCTGGGACTTGGTGTCCAGTTTGGGCTTCCCGGGACAAGAAAGGCACGGAGACACAGGAGTGAGTCCAGCACGACAGTCAGGGGCTGGAGTACGTCATAAGACGTACGAGGAGAAGCTGGTGCTCCTCAGGGAGGTGATCTTGCCATCTCCAGACACCTAACAAGAGGTTACTGAGAAGACAGAGCCAGACTTTCCTCGAAGCTTTGCATTGATGGGACAAGAAGCAGCGGACAAGCTGCAGCAAGGGAACTTCTGCTTAGATATCAGAAACAAACGTTCACCCCGGGGGTGGCGACACACTGAACCTGGAGCCAGAGAGGGTGCAGAGTCTCTGTCCTTGGAGATTCTACCCAAATCTCCACCGGACACGGCCCTGAGTGACCTGGTCTAAGGGATCTGCTCTTAGCCGGGGCTGGGCTAGAGATCTCCCGAGGCCCCTTCCCCCTTCACCACGCTGCCACCCACTCCAGCATTGATCTGAGACGGGCAAATTCAGGATCGACCTCAACAAGAAAAAAATCTGGCAGAAGATCTCAACCACCACCTTCTGCTCAGGCCCCGAAAGGATCATCTCCAAGATCGGGCAGCGGCAGCTGAATGCAAGATACCAGCACCAGCCTGGAGCATCACAGGTCGGGGTGGGAGACAGCAGCCCTGCTGCCAGCATCCCCGTTTGGCAGAGGTGACAAGAAGCCACACTGCTATACGTGATGCCACAGCAGTGTTTCACCTCCAAGCAGAGCAGTCAAAGAGCAATCCCTGTTTGTGAGCAGCAGAATGACTTCAGTTGAGGCTAAAACACCGCAGAACCAACCCGGGTTGTGTGCACAGCGACCTAGCAGTGCCGCCCAAACGTCGCTCTGAAGAACTGTAAATAGGGAGCATCTGACTCTGCTCCACAGCCCATTTCCACAGGGACGAGCCAGCGAGGCTGCTGCCTGCAGGACATCACCCACCCCCAGCGACCACCGCCTGGCGTGAAGAAACCCCCCCATACCCTGCCCCTTATCGCCATCCTGCTGCTCTCTAACGAACTGGAAGCACGTGGCTTTCTGTTATCGATGAGATAAAGCGCGATGCAGACCGCATCAGGAGCCCACAGCAGTATTGCAGAAGCAGCGGGAGGGAAGGAAGAGGATTTCCAGCACCCAGGGCCCTCTTGGCCCCAGTGCGCTCTGCCAAGGAGCCCCCGGTACCTGCTTGGGTTGGAAGGACGGCTCCAGGCTGCAAGGTTGTGTCACCGGGTGGCTCACCGGCAGGGGAAGCCCTGTCACCGGCTACGGCAGCGTATGGGGGAGATGGGCTGCGGGGCTTTTGAAATCCCCCTCCTCTGACACACAACCACAGCTGCGATGGGCTTCAAACCAATGCAGCCATCGTCCCCGAAACACACCACACCGGGAGAGAACGAGACTCCTCACCTCCAGGCCCGTAAGGGAGGAGAAAGCATCCGGACTCTCCCCGTGGTGTCACCACTCAGCTATGATTTTGCTTCCAGCCTCCCGATGCCACTCCAGGGCACAGCTGCCCCTTGCCCCTCACCTGCACGAGGCCGGGAGATGCCATTATTGTCCTGGCCCACCTGCCTTTCTCCGGGCACCTTGTCCCACGTGTCCCCTCTGCAGAAGAGCAGCACAAGGTTTAAGCGCCGCGGCAGTCCCCGGTGGTGCGAGCACCCAGCAGAAGGAACTGGACTCGCTAAAACCCCTCTGCTTGGGGAAGCTCCTGCCACCACCCAAAGGCAGTGGCTTTCCAGGGAGGCCAGCTCCGGGCTCCCAGCAGCAGGCAGGCCAGGCCAGGCAGCCTCTCTGCCGGTACCCAGGGGACGCGCAACCTGCAGCCTGTCCGCCAGGAATAAGGGCTCACCCAGCAGACTTCTCTTTTTCTCCCTCCCCCCTGCCAAGATTTTCCGATTGCAGCAAGCGCAGCAGCCCTCCGGCATCGCCACCCGGCCACAAAGGCTGCATTTTGCCCTCTGCTATTTGAAGTTAAAGAAAACAAGACCCACAATATCTAGAGATGCAGAATAAACACACAGGGGTTAAGAAGGACGAGCCGCCCAGGAGCAGCAGCCTGGTCCGCATTTTGGTGACTCCCTGCCCACACCCCCTGTTCCAGGCACCCTCTGGAGCAGGAGCATTATACCAATCCCAAAGTCAAGGCATTTTAGCACAAACACAGAGCATATCTTCAATGGGTAGCAAAGGAGAAGCATTCTTTTTCGAAAAATGCCTAATGATGGAAATTCGCTGCTCTTACTAAAATTGTCCACCCACTTCTCAACCTGAGAACTGCCACGCACGGCTCGAGAACACGGGAAAGGGGCAGCCCACGGCAGGCGTGATGCTCAGAGGCACAGGCAGCCTCTCGCTTCTTGACATACTCGAGGCACTAGAAAGTCCTGGTGAGAGGACGAAGGCTCAGTCAGCTCCGGAGCAGCGCTCAGCTGGCCCCAAAACCGGAGGAGACCTCAGGCACAGCCCTGTAGCGTCCCCCCTACAGTCAAGGGCGTGTTTATCCAGCCCCTCCTCACCTCTCGCCCACAAACACTCGATCTCAGTCTCTCGCAGCAGTCAGCCGGGGAACTATAGACCCATGTTTCCTTTTGTCACTTGAAGATCACTTTCACTTCCATTAAACAAGCATGTGAGAAAGGGAAGACGCTCCACTGGGGACATTTTTATTGTATTACCACAACCCAGGTTTAAGCCTCCCGTGAGCTAAGCAGCTCCAGCCTCCTTGTTTCTCTGCCAAAGCTGTCCTGTCTTCCCGCTTCAATCTATACGACTATACAGCATCGAGGTCAAAGGACCGTCCGAGGGAGAGAAGCAGCTGCCCTACACCGAAAGGCAACCCCAGCGCTACAGTGACAACCCAGCTGCCACTGCCAGGTCGGTGCCGCGGGCACGCGTGGTCCAGGCAGCCGTGGGTTCGGAGCGCCGGCAAGGTACTCACTCTCCTCCTTTGCTAACGGAAAACGCCACGTAGTGCCTTGTCACCAGCTGGGGCCTGAGCCACCCGCACCGTGAAGGGACACGGTGACAATAAATCAGACCAGCAGGGCCGGGTCTCCACCACTGACCAGCCCTGCTGTAGGGGAGCTCAGGCATTTCTTCTGAGCTACCAGGAAAACCCTTTCCTAACTGACCCACAGCCACAGGATCTGGTTAATCCCTATTTTAACAAACTTCAGACCTGCGGAATTTGCCACGTGGTCTTTAAAGTCAACCTGTGCTGTAAATACACAGCATGCTGTTGTACCGCCTGGGAAGATTATTTTTGTTTTCACACCAGAACAGCTGCAACGGTACAGGCGACTCCTGCCAGCCGCCGTGCCCTGCTCCCGCAGCGCCACGCTAGGCACTTCCAGCCTAACGAACCCTGCATTTCCCTCTAATTAGCCTGCTGTTCTGACTTGCCCAGGAGCAGGACAGCACAGAATCGTGCTCGGCGAGACATCCCTGCTAACAGCTGCCAAAGGCTGGCACCACTCCTCCTCCTCTAAGCTCAGGTGTCCCAGCAAACTCCTCATAGGAAATTCGAGGACGTCACCCGGAGGCAGCTCCTCTCCCACCTGGCGCTGGCGCGGAAGCGCCCCATGGACCCGGCCTGACCAGGGCCCTTGCCCGGCACAGCCCGCCCAGCCACAGCTTCGCTCTGTAACAGGCACAGAGTGCCTCGGCCAGAGCCACGGCGTGCTTCTTGTGGAGGAGAGGCTGCTAGGCGGACTGCCCGAGTAACAGCCTCCAGGTACACTGCAGAGAAGTTTCTCTTCAGTTAATTACCCCAAATTAATTTGCAAGAAGGAACTGGCCTCCCTGTGTTTGTGATACGTCCCACCCTGGATTCCTTTTGTCAGCGTAGTTCCATCTGTCCCGCACGATGTCCACCACCACGCCAGCGTTAGACGCTCTCGTGTTTGAGCCCGACGTGTTGGCTTGGGCACCAGCAGCGTGCCAGGCAGCAGGCTCTCTCACAGAACGGTCCTTTTAGTAGAAATGAAGCGGGCAGCCCCAGCGGGCAGGAGCAGGCCCCTGCTCAGCACGGGCTCCTGCTGGCAGGGACCGTCTCAGCCGCTCGGCTGCGCCCACGGCTGAGGAGCG